ATGCTGTAGCAGCCTTTCAGTTAAAGCTTTGCAGTGTTCTCACAGGCACTATTAATTTTACATTTTAAAGAATGTTTGTCTGAATTTTTTTATACTATACAGTAGAACTGCATGCGTATATCTTAAAAGCTCACTCCCACCAAGACCACTTTTGATGGTTTTGGAATACCTCAGACAGAGGTAATTGTCTCCTATTTTAGCTGCTCAAACCCTGTATTTATAGTTTTATTGAATGGAAATTCAGATTAGAAAGATTAAAAAGTCCAACCCAATCTACAAGCCTGTTTTCCTGTGAAAACAGCCTTGACACATTAATCAATAATATAGCCAGCTTCATGCAAACAAACATCTGGAACATTTCTGATCTCTCTTTCTGAAGATTTTGCAGCGGTCACACTCCTTTCTTCTCTTCTTTTCAATATACACAGAATATATGTCCTGTCCCTMTTCTCTGTGAAGAAAGGACTGTAAATTATTTTGGTGAGAGGGGGAATGAGTAATATTCAGAGCATTCTCAAACATGGGAAACAGTCAGGAAATTTATTTCAAGAAAGATAATGCTGTCTCAGCATTCTCCATGAAAGGGAGAGCTCTCAGGTACAGCCAATCCTGCATGTCTGGCTACCTCACACGCAGACACTGGAACTCTCTGTACCCTGTCAGGGATGCAGGCAGCTGGGAAGGGATATTTCAAAGAACACAAAGGAATTTTGAAAGCTGCTGTCAGACAGCAGACCAARGGAACTCACTGAAAATTTAAATGCCTCTGTGGAATCTTCCAATTTTGTGAAATCAGTAAACATTCCTGAGGAACCTTTTCCTCTGGCTTTTCTGATCATCTCCATTACTCAGCCTGTGTGGATTTASACTTCAGCTGCTGCAAATTCTCTGCCAAGCAGCCTACTTCAGCTGAGCCAGCTCTTCTACTGAGGAACAAGTCAGCAGGATTTCAGACCATCAGAAAGGGTATCCCAACAGCAGGAGAGTTGGTGTAAAGGAATTGACGATGCAAATGAAATCAACTCTACCTGAGCTCTGAACCACTTTTCTAATTTTTGACAAGTCAACGATGTTGAGGTTTTCCACTGTGTTACTTGGTGTTGGACAGCTGTAACCAGACTTGGCAAGCACCTGTRCTTAACCTTAATTAACACTTAATTTAATCCGTCTGCCTCAGCTTTCAAAGTATGGAAAAGAGAGGATAATAAAATTACTTTCTTCATAGAAGAGTTGTTATAATTAAYGTTTTTAAAATCCTAAATGTAATTGAAGTACACAGCAATCTTTCCAGTTAAGGATGTACAAATCTTCTGCAGTTCGGTATAGGCATTGCTTTTTCTTACTCTTTTTTTTTTTTTTTCTAGTAATGATACTACTTCAGTTCAAGTAAGGAAAGGGAATCAGAAGAAACCAGTGCTTGAGAATCATGTGCAATATGATCTTAATAATTACTGATTTTTTACTTCTATGGGATGTGCTTTTCTTCCTGTCTTTGTTATTAACTTTATTGACTATATTTTATTAGTTTACCTTTGGCTTTCATCATCTGAGAAACTGGCCTGATCTAAGTCAGTTAAGGCCTCTGCTTTAACTTTTATGATCAAAGCAAGTTAGAAATGCTGATGTAATAGCATTTGCAGAATTTTAGAGTGCTTCATGTAATGATGGCAACTACATGTTTTATTCTTTGCCTGGGATTTTTTGCCCTAAAAGAAGCATCTTAAATGGAAATGATATCCTTACCCTTTCCTGTTCCCATTTCTTTGTATAACCTTCAAAAGCAGTGATTCAGAATAACTTAAGAGCCCACAAGTATAAATGAATCAGCCACCCTTTCTCCCAAAAGAGGATTCTTTAAAATATAGGTGGTTTTTCAAAAGCAAGGGCCTCCATTGATTTAAACACTTTTGAAAATCAGGCCTTTTAGATATGTGCTTACATATCACTTGAGGAAACAGATTTTACAGTTCAAGTAGAAAAAGCTTGTCCTTAACTTCTTTCAAAAGAACAGGCTAGATTTGTATGCAAACACATGTTGCATTGAGCATCTTTTAGCTGAGTATATTCCTTGGGCTTTTCCACGAGAACTGATGATCCAGATCTGTTTGAATGTCTAGTGGGCTTAGTATGATGACTTGTGCCGTTTTTGACAGAATATGAGTTATAAAAAGCCTGTAACTGTGATGCCTGCTGGATGAGTTTTGATCAGAGAGTCCATATGAAACTGTGCTTTGTGCTTCTGAATTATTTGAAAAGCATATACTTCTTCAAAGCAATAGATACAATATTTGTAACATATAAAGCATGATGTATTTTTTCTCTTTATAGACATTGATTCTCAACCCCCAAGTTCAAATTTTTATTTTGGAGGGACCTTTATTGTAAGACTGTGTAAACTAACAAGGAAGAAACAAACACAACACTCAGGCTGCCAACACCAACGGGTGGTAACAGGAATAATTCAAGATTTATTAAATTTCAGCTTCTTTTGTCTTTAAGGATTTGTTTCCTTGAAGGTAGGGTATGAATAGAAACTTCTAGATTATGCAGTATTTGGAAAATAGGAGACAGAAATAAAAATCTGCCTTTTCCTCATTAGTGTACTTTTCCCCTTCTYAACACACACCAATGGGAGGAATCTACAGAGTGTTCTAATAGCATAAGTTGTGGTCAATATGTTTGTTCTCTTCTCTGTCTTCTCTGCTCATTTCTGGTGGAAGGATGGATCCAGAAGAGTGTAGAAATCATATAACAGAATGGAGGATTTTTWAATTATTATAACTTGGAATGCAAGGCAAGTTTGAAGATTCCATATCCTGTAGTTTATTATATGCAAATTTTAAAATCATTCCTCTGTGTCAAATAATAAATGAAATGCAAATAATTGATAGCAATASAGTGAGGTCACAAGAAGACCATGCTTCCAGTCATTTGAGGGGTGGGAACTGTGCAATAAAGATTTGCCAAATGGCTTTGTTGCCTATAGTAGGGTTCTTTCAAATTATACAAGTGTAATTGAAATTAACCTTGGTRCTCTGCTGTTGGGAGACTTGATTGTCAGTTATATTTTTGTAACACCAATTTTTTCATGGAATTGTAATTAAGGTTTTGTATTGTCATCACAGTACAGGCCAAATTTCACAGCACCCTGCAGCACCATTTTACCTCCTGAAGAGTAGCTCTCTTGTCACTCTTCCATTTCACTCCAGTCTGTGCCAGGTAACCATTTGGAGATAATAATTTTTCTCTGGACAGTCTCCCACAGGCAGCATGAAGTCACTAATTCTCTGAAATGTACTTGTGGCATCTGCACGATACTTCAGCCAGACCCGTACTTTATCCTTGCCGAATACCAAGAACAGTGCAGACTCAGCATCTTTTCTGTCCACTGACTTAAAATTTGTTTATAAGATGTTTGGAGTAGAAATCAATTCATCTTGTAAGGATGCTTCGTAAGGAATTACAGAAGTCATTATAACACAAATAAACGTATCTCAGGACATRCAGAGGAATTGTAGAAGTCAGTTTTTATTTATTTGCTTAAATAAAGCAGATGTGATCTTGGAAAAAATAATCTTTTTGGTAGGGAGGTCTTTATGAAATCCTGTATTCTAGTGTTTGGCTGAAGAAGGAAGTTTTCTTATAGATGAGAATGGATGAATGTTTCTCACCCATGCTCCAGAAGTTTTCTGAAAGCAGTGTAYCTTTGCAGATACATCCTTTTGAAAATGCTCTGCTCCCCATGCAGCTGCTCATGGATGAGTCTTGGCCTTTTCCTGGTGGCTGATAGAGACTGCAGTCATGAGTGAGCACCAGTTTTCTCCCAGTAAAGAGCAGGGATTATACTGTTTGCCTCAATATAATTAGAAGTAAAATTTGCTTATATCACATATTTGTTAAAAGGTGGCTTTTATCAGTTTATCACAATAAACTGTTAAATAATAAACAGATCCTGCTGTTATATTGTGATTTCCACATTTAATGATGATTAAATATGGAAATCACAATATAACAGCAGGATCACTTGTATGACAGACAGTTGTATTATTTTTAGGAATGGGAAATTCTGTGATGAGTCAAATTGCACCTGGTTATATTCAAATTTTTGTTTTCCAATCAGCAGCTGGCTTTAAGGCAGAGAATTCCTTGTGTGGACTGTCTAGAATGTAGACTGTTGTTGGCAACTGCTGCAAGAAATTTCCTGTGTGTACAGCCCCTCTTAGTGAATATCGTTCTATTTTGAGCCTAATTGAAAATTAAAGATACCAAACGAAGCAATTATTTTTCCCCGCAGTACAATATCTAATATTCTGATTTCATGGCTGTCTGACTACAGTGATTAGGAAGAACATTTCCTCAAAGTGTTCACAGTACCACAGCAATGTATCAGGAGCATCGTGTAGCAAAGAAAGGAACTATTATGTTAAAATATGTGCCACTTAAAAACACCCTCTATTAAAAAGTAGGATGCTGTTGTGTTACATTTGGTGCAGTCAGTAATTGCTTTTTCTTGTCTTTTTCTGTGAAAAAGCTATTAAGGATGTAGAAAACAACCTTCAACTAGAAAGGCTTTAATAGGAGAGATCTGCAATAGGAGAGATAACATCTCTGCAGCAAAGACATTTTGTGTTTAAAACTGTACTTCCATGTTAAGCCCAAGATGCTGTGGGGKTTTTTTGCTGGTAGAGAAATGTGTGTAGTTGCTGATAATTGTGTGATTCCTTAACTGAAGCAAACTATGCTCTTGTCCAATAACCTCTGTGTTAAGTGAGAGAGAAACCCCCAGTATTTCCAACAGGATGCTGGTTAGGAGTAGTAAACAAGTGGAGAAACCTGTTCAGAATGTCCCATAATCTTGCATAGAGAGTTAGAAAAAAAAATATTATTAATTTAAAATGTTTGCTTGTTTTTGTTTTTTCTTTTTATATCAGATAGTATTACTGAAGTCTTCACTAACATCTATGTGACCAGTTTTGGACCTGTGTCAGATACTGATATGGTGAGTTCCTCAATCTTTTGCATATATGGGCAAATGGTGTAAGGTATATATAAACTTCTTTTAAACTTGCATTCTTCTTGCACTTATTGTGGATGAATTTGAAACAATTTCACTTAAATCAGAAAGTGCCAAACCCCATATAGTTCTAAATTTGGAAATTGATTTACAGAGCTTACATGATAAGTATGTTTGTAAAATCTGTTCAGTTTAGACCAGTAAATCTTCTGATTGTCCCACTGACTACATTGGTTTATATTCTGRAGCAATCTTAAAATGGGTCAACTGGATTCCTCTTGGGTTAAAATCTGGAGTGAAAGGAGCACTCTTAACGTTAGTGAAAGACTGAGGGACCTGATAAGAGTAAAATCTAAATTAAACTTCTTGAAAGACATAGCCTGGAAGCTGAGTCATCAACGTGATTGTGGTGTTTTACAGGTATGTCCTTCTTAATTTGCATTGTTTAGTAACCATTTAAGGAAATCAATGACATTAAAAAATAAAGAAAATTTCAGAATATTTCTCTGGATTACAATTGCTCTGGTTTTAGGCTCACTGCAAATAATRCAGAGATTGGGAAGAATGTTTCACACTGGATAGGAAGAACTGATGGATGTAGCTTCTCTAACAGCAAAAGGAAGGACAGTCTCAAACTTGCTTTAACTACCTGTTATGCTCCACTTGATGGGTTTAGAGAAAGGTTGTTTAATTCACTCTGGCCAATGTGTGGGAGAGAACAAAATTCTCAGCAGATTCAAAACCAAACTTTTACTAGCAGAATTTAGAACATTAAGGTAGAATAAAGTACTTGACAAATTTTAAAACAACAGCCAGGCAAAGTAAGGCACTTCACAAAATTTAATTTAGCAAACTTAAACTTAACCAGCCTTAATAAATCCAGACACAAGACACTTACTAAGGCATTGACTGGAATTTTTTAGTCTGGCTTAAAATGTATTTCGAGAGGTTAGGATAAGAAAGGGAGAAAGAAGAAGAAAGAAAGGATAAGAGTAGAATGATATCACTATCCATGGATTTAGCAGCCAGACTTCTTGTTTACAACAAGATTGTTGTAATTTCCATTGGTCCAAGTGGTGGTCACAATCTTAATCCAGTGGGGTGGGAGAAACCCATGAAAAAAAAGTCCAGTGGTTTAATATATGTTTATCTTTAGGTGGAATGCCCAGACACTTTCCTCCCTTTGGGGTGGGGGGTTTTACACTGTCTTTTGCAACACTGTGGAAGGCCCCAGAAATGAGTTTGGGGTCTGTGGGTCTTTCATGATTTATGACACCTTCTAAGACATGACAGCTGCCTCTCAGTCAGTGTAGAGGAGCCAGTTATGCCCCATCAGAAGGGATGAATACCTTCAGGTATCAATGTCCCAATATCTCCCCAATATCTGGGGGGGAGTTCTATGGCTGAATGGTTTGTGTAAGGGAGGACTTCAACATGACAAAAAGTATTCATCCACCTCAYGGAATCTGCTTCTTTTTGTCTCTTTCCTTATCTGTCTCAAACCCCAGCTTCTTGCCAAACAAAGGGTGCTTGTCCTGGTCATCCCCTGGTGCTAACACGCTCTGCAGCTGAGCTGTTACCATGCTCATCCTCAGAAAAGAACCCACTGCTTTTGCCAATGGCTGATTGAGCCATTATCATCTCAGTCTCTCACACTGCCCTTCCCATTCCCGCAAGAAATTATTTTTGAAGTGTTTTAAGCACTCGTTGTATATGAGACATATAAAATACAACCCGGGTGTATCTGTAGGTACTAAAAATGAATATTTTTCAAATCAGGCAACATTTATTTTTCTATGAAAAAGATCAYGCTATGCATCATACAAAACAGGGAATATTATGATGTTATGAACAAGTCTGTGAAACTAAATTTTTCACGGTACATTGTACATTTTAAAAGTTATTTTCTTACTGAATAGCAGGTAATCATAGCTTTGAAGGATATATTCTGGTGGATTTTTGTATTTATTTTTTGTGGGGGATAGTTTCAGTTTTCAAGCTCTGTTTTGATAGTTATGAATACATTTGTGAGACTTCACATGAAAAGCCATTTCATAGGAGAAATAGACTTCTTTTGTTTTTATTACTGTGTGTGTTGCTGATTCGCTCGAATCGAACTCATTGTGGTTTTATGAAACCTTATTTTATCAATAATTTTGTAAAAAARGTATCCACAGCTATGTACAAAGATRATATGAACATCTTGACCGTGTTGGTCTAGTATCTTATGACTTTACAGTGGTAAAGACTTGCACTTTTGGTAGTCCTGTGTAACAGGGAGATGATATTAATAAAGTTTTAAAGATGAGACACAAGGAGACTTACCCAGTGCTGTGCAAGTCATCTATGCTTAAATGGAAGTGTAACGAAAAGCTCCCTGAGCATATTTCCACACACTTTAGACATCAGTGGATAAATGTGTGGAGAGCTCTGGTGTCCATTTAGATGGACATATAGACAGTGCAGTAAGGGGTCAGGTCCTTTGATTGCTGCATCTCTAGTAGGTCTGTGCAGAGGTGTAAATCAAAGCAGAGTGCAGTACATCACAACGGCAGCTGTTTCGGTAATCTGTAGGTTTATTTGCAGATAAGTAGATAGATCAGGAAGAGCAGTTTAATTCTTATTACTACAAGCTTCTGGGTTAATTTAGCTTGTTCTGTTGATAATTATAAAATCATTTTGAAACATATGAGCAGTCAATTAGAAAATTTCAACATGTGAGTTTTGAAATAATAGCTTCCAAACCATCACATACTCTGTCGAACATGAAGGTGACATTAGAGTTTTAACCAGGAGTACTTTTTCATTTAGGAGCTGCATGACTGAATTGATAATGTAAACTATTATGCAGATGATTCATTGACATTTTCTTCTGTAAATGCTGGAAACTCTGGGATATTACAATTTTTAAAAATTTCCTCCTTAAAAGGCTGCATTGGAAGAATAAATTTGACTGCTGCCCATGTCCTCCAGAATCTTCAGATTTTTTCAGGGAGGTTGAGTCCCAGCCCCTGAGGTCCTCTGCTCTCACAATGTGAATGGTGAGGACCTCATCACATGAGGTTTTTAAGCTTAACACTGCAGTTGCCCAAAACTCAAGGTTATGGYTGCCCCTGGGATTCCTTCTGCTGGGGTTCCTTATAGCAATAAAAAGCATCAGATGTGTAACTGTACCCCTTTGCATGATCTATATTCCAGTTTGTTTTTTACCTCTTTGTTTAGTRTCTTGTGAAGAATAGCAGTGCTTACAAGAAAAGGGGTGCTTTTGAAAACAGKAAGGGGAGTCACTGATACAGGATATGATCAATATGAGTTCAGAGTGTGGTAGAAGAAAGTGGCATGCAGACAGTGAAGGGTGGATTGGCACTAAGGACAAAGCTCTCACACAGTAGCATTGATTCATGAAGTTGATAAAATGTAATTCTCACCTTTGTTGTTGAACTGCAATGAATTTGTGAGGTTTCTGTTTTCCTCTCTAGCAGTTCCCATTAATGGTAATRCAGGATTGTGTATGACCTGTGACTCAGTCTGATTTGCTACATTGCTAGAATGTAGGTTTTTATTCACATTGCTGTATTTTCCAGTATCACAATTTTGCCAAAAAACAGTTAAGTCCAGGGGAACTTGATCTTTGACTGATTCTAAGCTAGCTGAAGTTGCCATTGAAAATTCAGGAGGTAGAAGYTGCAGCTGAGATTTTTCTCCAACTGTGTTAAGAGTCAAAAACATTTGGTCCTTGTTGTGGATTAACATTTTGAGTGAGTTAAAAAGATATTGCTCTGTGTTCTGACCAAAATAGTTGATACCAAATCTGTTCACTCTTGGCCAGGAGGCTGTTGCAAACAGTGCTTCAAATGAACTGCTGTGACTAAAATATCTGGGTAACTGTATTACTCGTGTCAAAGAAATGCTATTGAATGTCAACCACTCTATTTAATGTCAAATATACAATGCCAGGATATAAGAATTTTTAACTTCCTTTTGCAAGGAGAATTAGGGAAGTGAGAATCAAGGGAGGCAAGGCAAAACACTAAACAGACTAAACAGATTTTACTTTCACTCTTCTGTCTTTTTGAGCTATTATTTCCCAGAAATGTTGAAGTTCAGTATTACGATTCGATRCCTTATAGGCTTCCAACCCAATGAGTGATACAAATTGATTTTGACATTAGCCTGAGAGAAGAAAAGCTGCATTATTTAGAAAAACAAAGATGAAAAATTAGACAGAACAACTGAAAAACAAAGCATCTCTGAATTTTCTAAAGCATTATAGAGCTAAGTTATTATTACAGAGGCTATTTAAAGCATTTATCATGAAATAATTTTTTTTTTTAATTTGAAAATTCAGAGGTAAAGGATAAATTTGTTTGGATTAYAATTTGTAAGATAAAAAGGATTAAACATTAAACCTGATTATTTTCCTGTTTTAAAGAATTAATTATTTGAAGTTTGGTAGATTGTACCATCATTATAAATCTATATTCTGCTAACTTGAATTTCAGCACTGAAAGCAATGCACTTTTACTTCTTATTCTCAGATGTGCTGTCTTTCCAGGCTCTCCTGACACTTTGGCTCCTAAAATTTCCCTTATAGCCATAGACACAGTAAGTGCTGATGTCCATAATTGAAAAAAATAAATTAGACCTATTTACTCCTCAAGCAAGAGTTATTTCATGTAAGACAGATTATATAGATATGAGACCCTTTATGCAAGGTCTGCTGTGAAAACAGCTTTGCCAAAATTTAGGAAGTTTTGCCTCGGAGAAGTCTTTTCTGATTGTCACTGGGAACAGCCTTTCCTGCTTTCCTGCAACACACAGTGAGTAGGTGGCAAAACTTTAATCAATTTAGCTTGAATATTAAAACTAACAAGCTTTCTGAAACTTTTGCATTTCAACTTTCAGTCTTAGATTTCTGTTGTTATTGGGGAGATTTTTTTGCTGTGGTAAMACCTTTGTTCCCAAGTTGTTTGTGAACAACCTAT